ATGTTTCTTTGGTCTTTACTGCATCTCAGCAAGGCTTATTTACAATACCCCCTCTTATTCATTCAAAGCCCTCGCAGCAAAAACACAGAGCTTAATGACAGTGTTGAATTTATAGGTAATTCCACTTTTCCGTATAGTAATTGTTTCCCTATGCAAATTACAGAAATCTGGAAACACTAAATGATCATTTTGTTTAAATATAAACTAACATGGGATTAAGGGAGGGGAACTGTCTCCTCTAATTATAGGCAGACCAGCAATGATTTTCTGAGATGGTCCTACAGAGGTCTGAGTAAGGGCTGTTTAACCACAAGCCTTGTAACATGCAAGACTTGAACATTTAAATATTCATAAGGTCAACATCCATGAGACCTGGTGGCATGTAGTGTCCCACTATGAATGGATGGTCAGTTGTATTGCACTTTTAAATTTATATTTTAAAATGTACCAGTTTAGCTATTTGGAACCCAAGTTATGATAAGTACAGCCTCCAGATGCAATTATTTACGTGTTTATTTCATTTATTATTATTTATTGTATTTGAATTATGAGCATAATTAATTAACTAAACTTGAAACTGAATCTTGGCGAATTCACGTCAAAACAAGAATATTTCAAATGGCCAAATATAAGGCCAAAAAAGCTATATAATAGAAGTAGGTTATTATGCTGAAAATGCTGTGATTTGGTTGTTAATTCTCATAATTCTCAGTGTTCCAATTAGTCCCATGGTATTAGTGAAATGGTCACCGGCCTATTCTGTAAATCACCATGTTAAAATTATCTACCTCAATGCAGCTTCAAAATAGACGAATAACACAATGGTCATTGAGATACCATACTACTGTGACTTGTTAACACATCTTAAAGTGGGACACTTGGACATTATTTATCCAAGAAAGGATGATTAAATCATTAAAGTGTAAAATGGTTTATGTCCACAAGGGGAGCTGTATGTCTTAAGGCTCTAGTTCTTTGCTGATTAACATGTTGTGTGTTTAAATAACATTATAAATACATTTATTATTAGACTGCAACATTAACAGTAATTCCAGACATAATCAATAAGCACAAAAGATTCATATTTTTAAATGTACACTGCAATGGACTAGTTATAGAATCAAAACTAAGGCATAGGTCACACTTTGCGAAGGTGGTCATTTCAAACAAATGCAAAAATCTAAGCCCTGTGTCCATCATAGCTGCTTTTTGTTCATCTTATTTTCCCTTTCTTCCTCAGTACTCTTCAACCCCATTATCCCTTCCAAAGCAATATATAGAGTCTTAAAAAATAAGAAGCCTTCACCATTCTCTAAAATCTGTGAAAAAATGGCAAACTGCACTTAATGTATAATTTTGTTTAGCATGATATGTTATTAATATATATGAACCAGTTCAAATTGAAACTTTTATTTTAACTTGATGTTAGCATTGTGTTGGAAATATAAACTATAGTTAAAAATACAGGTATGTGCATACATTTGTATTAATCCCCACTCATGTTTGATAGGATCTAACATTACACCTTTTTTGGTATATACTGTATGTACAAGCTTTGTACACTGTTTCTGGGGCTGTTTTGATCTATTATTCGTGGCGAAATTGCTTTGGGTTAGTTGGAAGCCTTTTTGAAGCCTAATTTTCCAGTAAAACACAGATTTTCAATTAGACTGGTATCAGGGCTTAAACTAGACCCCATTTTATCCTTGAGATGTTTGTGTCACCACCAGGGCCGGACTGGGAAGAAAATTCGGCCCGGGCATTTTTTAATTACAGCGGCCCACTAAAAAGGGGGCGGGGCCAGATAGGGTGTGTTTTGTCATCACCAATGACAAGCACGCCCCATCACAAAGTGAGCATGTTGGTTCAATGCTCTTTCAGGGTAGACCATGCGCAGAGCTCTGCTGAAGAGCTCTGGCATGAAAAAAATACCCTGTATTTGTTCTGCACAGCGCAAGCAAATTTAATAACATGCTTGCACTGTGTTTGCTTGAAATTTGTCTCTGGTGTCTCCATAGTTGGGATACCAGGAGACAAAAATTCCAGGAAAGCATATTGCGCAGTGTGTGTGAGGGTGCTCTGTGTGTGTGTGTGTGTGTGTAAGGGGTGTAGTGTGTGTGAGAGAGGGGTGCAGTGTGTGTGTGAGTGATGGGTGCTGCGTTTGCGTGAGGGTGCTATGTGGGTAGGGGTGCTGTGTGTGTGATGGGTGCAGTGTGTGTGTGCTGTGTGTGAGTGGGTGCTGTGTTTGCATGAGGGTGCTATGTGCATGTAAGGAAGCTGTGTGTGAGGGTGCAGTGTATGCATGTGAGGAAGCTGTGAGTGTCAGGGGTGCTGTGTGTGTGCTGTGTGTGTCAGGGGTGCAGTGTGTGTGTGTGAGGGTGCTCTGAGTGTTAGAGGTGCATTTTGTTTGTGCTGTGTCAGACGTGCAGTGTGTGTGAGGGTGCTGAGAGTGTCAGGGGTGCAGTGTGTGTGTGTGTGTGTGTGTCAGGGGTGCAGTGTGTGTGTGTGAGGGTGCTCTGAGTGTCAGGGGTGCAGTGTGTGTGTGTGTGGGTGCTGTGAGTGTCAGACGTGCAGTGTGTGTGCTGTGAGGGTCAGACGTGCAGTGTGTGTGTGAGGGTGCTGTGCGTGTCAGGGGTGCAGTGTGTGAGGGTGCTGTGAGTGTCAGGGGTACAGTGTGTGAGGGTGCTGTGAGTGTCAGGGGTGCAGTGTGTGTGCTGTGAGGGTCAGACGTGCAGTGTGTGTGAGGGTGCTGTGCGTGTCGGGGTGCAGTGTGTGAGGGTGCTGTGAGTGTCGGGTGCAGGGTGTGAGGGTGGGAGTGTCAGGGGTGCAGTGTGTGAGGGTGCTGTGAGTGTCAGGGGTGCAGTGTGGGTGCTGTGAGGGTCAGACGTGCAGTGTGTGTGTGAGGGTGCTGTGCGTGTCAGGGGTGCAGTGTGTGAGGGTGCTGTGAGTGTCAGGGGTGCAGTGTGTGAGGGTGGGAGTGTCAGGGGTGCAGTGTGTGTGTGTGCTGTGAGGGTCAGGCGTGCAGTGTGTGTGAGGGGTGCTATGTGAGTGGGGTGCAGTGTGTAGGGGTGCTGTGAGTGTCAGGGGTGCAGTGTGTGAGGGTGCTGTGAGTGTCAGACGTGCAGTGTGTGTGCTGTGAGGGTCAGACGTGCAGTGTGTGTGTGAGGGTGCTGTGCGTGTCAGGGGTGCAGTGTGTGAGGGTGCTGTGAGTGTCAGGGGTGCAGTGTGTGAGGGTGCTGTGAGTGTCAGGGGTGCAGTGTGTGTGCTGTGAGGGTCAGACGTGCAGTGTGTGTGAGGGTGCTGTGCGTGTCGGGGTGCAGTGTGTGAGGGTGCTGTGAGTGTCGGGTGCAGGGTGTGAGGGTGGGAGTGTCAGGGGTGCAGTGTGTGAGGGTGCTGTGAGTGTCAGGGGTGCAGTGTGGGTGCTGTGAGGGTCAGACGTGCAGTGTGTGTGTGAGGGTGCTGTGCGTGTCAGGGGTGCAGTGTGTGAGGGTGCTGTGAGTGTCAGGGGTGCAGTGTGTGAGGGTGGGAGTGTCAGGGGTGCCGTGTGTGTGTGTGAGTGTCAGGGGTGCAGTGTGTGAGGGTGGGAGTGTCAGGGGTGCAGTGTGTGTGTGAGTGTCAGGGGTGCAGTGTGTGTGTGTGTGAGTGAGGGTGCTGGGAGTGTTATGTGCCCTGATTATATCCCCCCTCCCTGCTTACCTTATGCCTGGGAGGGGGGATCCTGCTAGTCCTGCCGCCATCCATCCCTGGTGGTCCAAGTGGTGAGTGAACTCTAGCCTGTTGGGCTAGAGATCACTCTCGCGAGACCCGGAGCGATCCTGTGATCTCCCTGCCGGCCTCGGCCCCACGGCCACCGCGGCCCACCGGGCATTTGCCCGGTGTGCCCGATGGCCAGTCCGGGCCTGGTCACCACCATGTTGACCTCATTGTACCTCTAAAAATTGTATTTGTTCCCAAGCTTAATTTTTCTAGCAGATTATAGTAAAGTCTTATTGCAAAATGTCCCCAGTTGTATTTCTACCGCAATTCTTTGTTCATTTTTAGCCAGGTGGTGCCTTATTTTAAGACCCTTTTAGCAGGGTCCTCAATACATTCTCATGAACTCTTGTTTCTTGTTAACACTTGTTTTGTTTTCTGTTATAGTCCCACATTAAAATTGTGCAAAAACAATGTATGGATACTGTATTTTGCAGCATGGACAATTTTGAATTTGAGACTCACGACAATTTAATATATTGTCAATGGAGATCTTATTTAATCACAAAATCTTCTGCAGTATTACACATAGGGCACTCTCATGCTTTCCAGAAAATGCTAGATATGTTTTCAGACGATATGTGTTGAGAATCCGCACCTTTCTTGCAAACACCACTGTTCCAATCATCAGTCAGCGTCTACAAAGTCATTGCTGTTGACTTCTATGTGGCTTTTCTTACAGGTCTCCTTGATTAAGAATTGTTAGAGGGACAGCTTGTTCTTGGCACATGTGGTGTGATGCAACATTAACGTCTTGTTTACTGATCAAACTGTACTGACCGGGTTGCTGAAAACATGGATATCGTGACCTCCCTGTACAATAGTCATAACACATTAATGTATATTCATTTGTGCAACTATTGCTTCTGTAGAATGCTTTTTGGTCTTCATTTTCCTCCATACACACAGCATGACAAATAACTCCTAAACATCAGGTTCTGCTGCTGGCAAATGCATTGTGCTTAGATTTTGGAGCTTAGTTTATATCTTTTAGATTCATTTTTATCATTTAGATGCAACGTTATAGTTCTGAGTCTCCGAATCAGGACAGCACTTGATACTTGGGATCCTTTACGTCCCTTTATTGGGATATCCATTTACATGGCTATAGTTTTGGTTCCTGAGCAGGAACCCCTTAGCATGCTACAAAAGCTTATAGTCTCTTGTAGAGCTGACTCTTTATCATGATGGTTTGTTTAACAGAATTGTTGACATTTTATATTTGTGAGCTCCTGATAACCTTATATACCACAACCAGTGTGCTCTTGTATTTCCTGCTAAACCAGACGTCATAGAACTGTCATTGCCACTGCCCAAGTGTTCTTATCTTTGCTTGTTATGCCTTTATTTCTTCTCTTTCTTTCTGTGCCAGCTTGGAGATTCTTTGTCTTGGATTCCCCTGTTCCATCTTCCTTTATAGCCTAAAAATTAGGTTTGCCACCTGGCAGGTATTTTACCGTCACAGCCGGTATTTGATGCTGTGTAGCCGGTACCGGTATTTTTCTGTGAGGATAAAGTTCTGCAATATCAGCACTGGCCAACAGGGTGCGTCATGGTTGCAGGACGTGCAAGAAAGGCACAGTATGTCCCTGCCCTCTCCACAGATAGGATGGAATCCACATGGGAGGAGTGGGAGGAGCAGGAGCTACAGGACAAGGAGATGTAAACATCATGGAAGCATGGCAGCAGGAGTTCTGACAGCAGGTACCTGTGTGTGTTTTCAGCACCCTTTGTGTGTGTGTGTAAGTAGCAGCCTGTGTGTGTATACAGCAGTCTGTGAGTATGTATTCAGCTGTCCGTGAGTATGTATTCAGCAGACTGTATGTATGTATTGAGCAGTCTGTGTGTATGTATTGAGCAGTCTGTATGTGTGTATTCAGCAGTCTGTGTGTGTATTCAGCAGCCAGTCTGTATTTAGCCAATTGTGTGCGTGTGTGTATTCAGTAGTGTACGTGTGTAGTTTTTTTGACCTCAAAAACATGTTTGTTAAATACAGAGAATAAGCAAACATAATATTTAAAATATTGGGACATAACAGCTCTCTTTTTTGTTGGTGTGAGTTATTTTTGTAAGCTTGATCTGTTGTGTACATTTTAATGTGCATGGTAATATTGAGGTAGTTTACTAAAAAAGCTTAACTTGCAATTGAAAATGACAAAGTAAATAACAGAAAAAAATTTAACAAAAAGATCAATGCATTCCAATAACTGCAGTTATATAAATACAAATTAAAATAATGCATTACATTATCACAAACAAAAAAATTATACTCACAAAAAACAACAATATATTTTTCAGGATTTTCCAAAATGTGTCCTAGATCTCTCAAAAAGATTTACAAATCCTTAGTACAAAAATAAACATGACATGTTACTTTGAAAATCAGTCTGTGTGTATGTATTCGGCAGTCTCTATGTGTATTCGGCAGTCTGTGTGTGTATTCAGCAGTCTGTGTGTATTCAGCAGTTTGTGTGTATGTATGTGTAATCAGGAGTCTGTGTGTGTATTCAGCACACAGACTGTGTATTTGGCAATCACTGTGTGTGTATTTAGCAATCTGTCTGTGTATTTAGAAATCTGTGTGTATTTAGCAATCTCTGTGTGTGTATTTAAAAGTATCTGTTTGTTTTTAGCAATCTGTGTGTGTTTGTGTGGGTGGGTGGCTGCCTACCTTAACGTGCCCCTGAGATGTTAAACTACAAATATCCTAGCCGGGTGGCGAGGGAGCGCTGTCCTCAGCTCTTCTTGCTTGTGTACCCTTCTCTGATTCCGGGAGCTGGAATATGACATCACTCTGGCCCCAACATTACTAAGTGGTGCGCGAGTGAGCTGAGCTAGAAGAGCTCAGTTCCCTCGCCCCCTCCATTGAGCGACCACAGAATCAGCCCAACCAGCAGAGCCAACAAGGAGCCCTGCCAGCTCAACAACAGTCAGGAACAGTATCCACTCCAGTTCTCCCAAAGGTAAGGAGGCTGGGTGGATTTTAAACAAAAAAATATATATATTAATAATTGGTGAGTGATGAGAAATTGTGTCTTTCATTGAGTGTGTTTGTGTCTATCAGTGTCTGTCTATCAGAGAATGTGTGTTTGTGTGTGTGCGTGTGTGAGAGTGTGTTTGCATCTGTCATTGTGAGTGTGTGTGTCTATCAGTGAGTGTGTGTGTTTCTGTCATTATGAGTATGTGTATGTCTGTCAGTGTGCATGTGTAGCTGTCAGTGTGTGTCTGTGAGTGAGTGAGTGAGTGAGTGAGTGAGTAAATGTGTGTGTGTCTGTCAGAGTGTGTCAAATCAGTGAGGATGTGTGTCTGTCAGAGAGTGTATGTCAGTGTATGTGTATCTGAAAGTGTGTGTCTATCAGTGAGTGCGTGTGCCAGTGTGCGTCTGTCAGTGAAGTGTTGGTTAAACAGTATGTGTGCCAATGACTGTATATGTGTGCCAATGACTGTGTATTTGTCAGTGAATGTATGTCAGTGCATGTATCAATAAATGGCCGGGGGGAGGGGGTCTGTCAGTCAAAAAAGTGGCTTGACACGCATTGGTGGGTCAAATTTAGATTAAGGGGGTGCCAGGATTTAGTTGTGCCTAGGGTAGCACAAATTCAAAATACACCACTGCTCACACAGCAGTATGCACACACAGTTATACACAGTTAGACAATAACACATTGCTATACATACTCTACTATACACACACTCATTCAGACAGTATATACACACACTGCCTCACATAAATGCTATACACACAGTCAGACAAAGTAAACACATTGTAAGTAGTTTATTAGTGATTTAGTGAATTTTCTCCTTCCAAATATTCTCATTCTCTTGTGTATGTTGTGTCCTGTGATGTCACACATATATAATTATCTATTCAAATTAGCACAGTCTGTATTTTTTTCCAAAAAAGGTGGCAACCCTAAGCCTAATGTTAATTGTAAAGTCTTGAACTAGTTTTCTTCAATTACAGGGCCAGCCAATATGGCCATTCAAAGAAAAATGTGTAACCTTCAGTGGATATGGTTGCCTTGCTGTTGGAACCCATAATGTCATTCTAGCTCCGACCCTCTATCACTCTCTCTTGGACCAGACAGAGATTTATCTGCATCACTTGAAAGAGCTTTGTGAAGCAGTCTAAGTTTAGTCTTTACATTCCAGTATTAACCTCCAGCTATTGTCAGGGGTCTGAGGGCGGACCTCCTCCTAGCTGTCGGCGAGCGGCGTCTCCGCTCCGCTGCACGCCGCTCGCGTCCTCCTCCACGCCTCCCAGCGGCGGATATTTATACTTACCTTTCCTGTCTCTCAGTGCCCTGTTGTGGTCTTGTGATACCTGTATTGCAGTTTGTTCGTGTTTCTCTCTGGTTACTGATTATTTGGCTCGTTATTCCGATTTTCCTGTATTCTCCACTCCTTTGACCTCGGCTTGTTTCTCGTTCTCCCATTTTCTGGCTCCCTTTACTTGGCTTGTCTCCTGACTATTCTTAGTGTGCTTAGCCCGGCCACTCTAAGGACCGGTATAGCATCCTTCCTCTCTGTGACCTGTTAGCGTGTTAGGTTCCGGAATCGTGACATTACAACAGGGCCACCATGGAACCTGCTGACATTCCACAGCTGTTAGTAAATCAGGAGGCTAGAGTGGATGGTTTAGACCATCGTATGGATCAGTTTGCTCAGGCTTTACAAACCATACTGGCTCGTACTGCCCACTTGCAACCTGCCGTTCAAGAAGCTGTTACTGCTGTGCCAGAACCCATTCCCGATCCAGTACCCGCTCCCTCTCACGTGGTTCACATGACGCCACCACAGCGCTATAGCGGTGATCCAGCATTGTGTTGTGGTTTCCTCAACCAAATTGATATTCATTTGGTGATTAATCCTCGTTCCTACCCCACTGATAGAACCAAAATTGCTTTTCTAATCAACCACTTGTCCGGGAAAGCTCTAGCATGGGCTAATCCCATGTGGGAGAATACGTCCCCAATGTCCTTTGCAGACTTTTTGACAGCTTTTAAACGTACATTTGATCAACCCGGCAGGGTTGCTTCTGCTGGCAAAGCTCTGCTTAGGGTCCGACAGGGTAATAGATCTGTAGCGCATTACACTATTGAATTCCGCACTCTAGCAGCTGAAGTGGTTTGGAATAACGACGCCCTCATAACAGCCTTTCAGGAGGGTTTGGCCGCTTACATGCTAGATGAAATAGCATACAGGGAATTGCCGGTTCTTCTGGATGATGTAATAGATTATATCATTCTTATTGACAACCGTATTAGAGAGAGGCGTAGTCAAAGAAGGATGAATACACAGGGGTTACCTGCTTTACCCAGTACTACATTGCTAGCATTACCTCCCCCTAATCAACCATCTCCCAAACCCATGCAATTGGGTGCTGTAGGCTTAACTGAAGCTGAAAGAACGTATCGCAGAAGGGAGGGCTTGTGCCTTTATTGTGGAAAGAGGGGGCATCTCTGAAGAAACTGTCCTAGTTTGCAGGGAAACTACAGCACCCAAGGCCTAGAGAGGGGTCGGCCTCGGGGGTTATGGTTTTTTCCCCTCAGGTGTCCATCTCCAGACCATTTATTACGGTTACTCTTTTGGTCAATCAAACCACTATAACAACTAAAGCCTTGATCGATTCAGGTTCTGCAGACAACTTTATGAATGAGAACTTTGCAAAAACCGCAGCCTTGACTCTAGGGGTAAGGTCTACCCGCTTTCTGAGACAGAAAACCAGGTCATGGAGGAGTACATACAGGAATCCTTACGTAAAGGTTTTATCAGAAGGTCCTCCTCTCCGGCTGGTGCTGGTTTCTTTTTCATTGCCAAGAAAGAGGGCGATTTGAGGCCATGTATAGACTACAGGGGTCTGAATAATATAACAATTAAAAACACTTATCCTATCCCTCTCATCACTGAGTTGTTTGACCATGTTAAAGGTTCTAGATATTATACTAAACTAGACCTCAGGGGGGCTTATAACTTGGTTCGTATAAAAGAGAATGATGAATGGAAAACAGCGTTCAATAAACGCAGTGGGCATTACGAGTATCTAGTCATTTTGGACTGTGTAATGCTCCTGCTGTGTTTCAGGACCTCATAAATGATGTCCTTAGAAATTTACTGCATGTCTGTGCCGTGGTTTATCTTGATGATATACTTGTATATTCTCCTGATTTGGAGTCACATCATGCCCATGTGAGGATGGTACTTAAGAGATTGCTGCAGAACGGTCTTTATTGTAAATTAGAGAAATGTTTATTTGACCAAAAATCTGTCCAATTCCTAGGGTATGTCATTTCTGAACTGGGATTCAGCATGGATCCTTCAAAATTAGAAGCCATATTGTCTTGACCTCTTCCCCAAGGCCTTAAGGCAATACAGCGATTTATAGGCTTTGCCAATTATTATCAGAGGTTTAATAAAAACTTCTCATCAGTTATTTCTCCTATCACGAAACTGACTAAAAAGGTTTTGCACCCCAGGGTTTGGACTCCTGAAGCCGTTAAAGCCTCCGAGACTCTCAAAAAGGCATTTGCCACTGCCCCTGTGCTACACCATCCTGATCCTTCCCTTCCCTTTGTTATGGAAGTAGACGCTTCAGAATCAGGTGTAGGAGCCGTATTATCACAAAGACTATCACATACCGAACCCCTCCATCCCTGTTGTTACTTTTCTAAAAGGCTGTCTGATTCGGAAAAGAATTACGACGTCGGGAACAGGGAACTATTGGCTATTGTGATGGCTTTTAAAGAATGGATGTACTTATTAGAAGGAGCTAGACACAAAATCCTGGTTATAACTGATCATAAGAATCTCTCCTATATAGCAGATGCTAAAAGCTTGTCCTCTCGTCAAGCCAGATGGTCTTTATTTCTTTCACGCTTTCAGTTCATTATCACATATAGGCCTGGATACCGTAATGTCAAGGCTGATGCTATCTCCAGACAATACGAACCTTTTGTACCTACATCTAAGATAATAGCTGCTACCCGTTTAGTTATTTCGTCTCTTTTCCTTGATGGAATCAAGATATACCAATCCCAAGCACCCTCTGAGACACCTGTTGGTAGATTATACGTGAAAGAAAAAGATAGAAAGAAATTGTTAGCTTTATTTCACACCGCCAAAACGGCTGGTCACCCAGGGGTTACCAAAACATACAAGTGTCTCCTTCAACAATTTTGGTGGCCCTCACTTAAGCAAGACGTAGTAGATTATGTGCAGGCTTGTCGTGTTTGCACACAGTGTAAGTCCGCTAATGTTAAACCCCCGGGACTCCTAATGCCTCTATCCGTGCCCAAGAATCCATGGACCCACTTATCCATGGACTTCATTGTAGGTCTTCCTTCATCTGATGGACAGACAGTAATTTTGACTGTGACTCAGGGCCGGATTGGCCCACCGGGATACCGGGAAATTTCCCGGTGGGCCGTCGGCACCTGGGTCTGCTGTAGGCCACTGGCAGGGGCGGGCTGGGCCGGGGGGCAGGGAGGCAATTGCCCCCCAGGCCGCCCTAAATTCTTGTAAGACCGGCCGCGGCGGGCCGGCCCTTTAAATACTGCAGCCGCCTGAACGCTCTGTTAAGAGGCTCAGGCGGCTGCAGCTTCTCCCCTCCCCTGTAGCGTGGCCGAGCTAAACTCCGGTCCGCGGTGGCCGGCCGGAGTGATAGGAAGGTGCACGCTGAGTGTGCAATTCCTGTCAGTCCGGCCGGTTACAGGAAACAGAAACTCCACGTGGAACAGGAGTTTCTGTTTCCTGTAACCGTCCGGACTGACAGGAAGTGCACACTCAGATGAGGGGAGGGGGGGAATAAAAAGAGGGGGGAATAAGATGAGGGGAGGGGGAATAAGAAGAGGGGAGGGAGGGGAATAAGAAGAGGGGAGGTGGGAATAAGAAGAGGGGAGGGAGGGGAATAAGAAGAGGGGAGGGAGGGGAATAAGAAGAAGGGAGGGAGGGGAATAAGAAGAAGGGGCAGCTCTATAGGACAGGGGCCAAGACAGGGAGCTCTTTCACACTATGCGCGCACACTCACACAATGCATCCCTATACATACACAGAAACACAACATGCTTCCCTTACACACAGAGAAACACACAATGCATCCATTACACACACACACACAATGCATCCATTACACACACACACAATGCAACCCTTACACACAAAGACAATGCATCCTTTGCACACATACACAGAAACAGACAATGCAAACCCGTACACACGCATGCAAACACACACACACTTCTTTTCTTACATACACACAGAAACACAATGCATCTCATGCACACACATACAGACACACACCTTGCATCCCTTATGCATACAAACACAGATTCACACAATGCATCCCTTACACACAACCAGAAACACATAATACATCCCTTATACACAAATACACACTGCTTCCACTACACACAAACACACTGCATCACCTGCACAAACTGGTAACCCTAAACACTACATACCATAAGCACACATATTAGATCCTCTACAATAACACATAACACATCCCCTACACACTCCACTCCCTGTGAGCGAACTCATGGGTGGGTGGAACTTATGAGTGGGCCTTATGGGCATACTCACCGTCAGGCCCTGGGGCCCAGACCTTGAGCTGTGTAAGGGGCCCCCAAAAAATGGAGCTGCTTCCAATTCTCCCAGAACATTGAATTTTGTGACCACAGTTGCAAACAGCCTCCAGAGATCCTGTTCTACACCAGACCAGTGGAGCCAAACTGCAGCCCATCATCATCCTCATCTGTTGTAAGTAGGCAATCTAGTATATTATTAGTGACACTAATCTATAATTTACCTCACATTAAAGGGACACTATAGCTTAATGAAGTGGTTCTGGTGTCTATAGCTGGTCCCTGCAGGCTTTTTAATGTAAACACACACTGTGTGCAGCACTGGCGCTAGTTCATATGGCAGATCATATGGGTGGGGCATTGTGATGTGACATGTGGGGGCAGCAAATTTTTATTTTGTCTAGGGCGGCAAAAATCCTTGCACCGGCTCTGATCGCAGTGCAAGTGCCCTCTGCCCCTAATTTACAGTGGCTCACACTCACAACAAGCAGTGCCTGGAGCCGTGAAGGAGCGGGTATGGCAAAGAACTACTGATTAGCATAACATCAATATCCGTTATAAAACCAGGAAAAGGTGGGCATGGATGGTGAACTGATTTGGTGGTGCAATGGGCCACTTGACTGGTTTTGCCCCCCAGGCCTAAGGCTGCCAGCCCTCCCCTGGCCGCTGGGGAGGTCTTTTGGCGGCCGCTGGCGGACTTGTCCTGGCGGCCGCTGGGGAGCTGCGCGAGCTGCGCTGGCTCTGCTCCCCAGCACGCAGCTGAATGAGACCGGCGCCGGAATATGACGTCATATTCCGGCGCCAGTCTCATTCAGCAGCGCGCGAGGGCGGGAGGGCACTAACACAGGAAGCACCTCTAGTGACCGTCTGAGTGACTGTCACTAGCAGTGTCACTTTGAAGCAATGTAAACACTGCCTTTTGTCTGAAAAGTCAGTGTTTACGTTGAAAAGCCTGTAGGGACATGCTATAGACACCAGTACCACCACATTAAGCTGTGTGTGTGCGTCTGCTAGTGAGTGAGCTTGCTTGCATGCGTGTGCCTGCTAGTGAGTGAGCTTGTGTTTTTATGTCAATGAGCTGATGTATATCAGTAAGATTGTTTGTCTATGAGGCTGTGTATCAATGAGTTTGTGTGTGTCACTGAAATGTCAGTGAAATTGCCTGTGTCTGCATGTGCGTATGCTTACTGTATAATTAAACGTTTTACCCTGAAAGGACCAATATTTTATATTAGAAAAAGCAATATATAAATATATATATGTATATATATATATATATTACTCAATCATCTGTCCTGGAAAGACATAGCCTTACATATTGCACGCGACAATATATGGCGCAGTGACTTATGGGGCTGGCACAAATTTTTTTTCCTGGGCTGCTTTGTATCCCCAGTCCGGCCCTGCTGTGACTGGTAGGTTCTCTAAAATGGCACACTTTATTCCTCTTAAAAAACTACCTTCTGCGGTTCAGTTGGCTCAGGTATTTGCCAAAGAGGTGTTCCGCTTGCATGGTATACCACAGGATATCGTATCCGTCAGGGGTCCTCAACTTGTCTCTCGGTTTTGGAGGGGCTTTTGTGCTGAGATGGGGATCTCCTTGTCATTAACGTCCTCCTATCATCCACAATCTAATGGAGCTGCCGAACGGGCAAATCAATCTGTGGAGTTATATTCACGCTGCTTCACGAATGCGCACCAGGACAACTGGTCTCACCTCCTTCCCTGGGCTGAATTCGCCAGGAACACCGTGACTCATTCGTCCACTGGCTTAAGTCCTTTTATGGTTGCTTATGGGTTCCAACCCTCTGTCCTTCCCGGCGTGTTCTCCGACAAGGGAATGCCCGCTTTGGACGAGCACCTCACCTCCTTACGGAAGATGTGGGATCAGGTCCATGCTACTCTTTCTCGTGTGGCTGCTACTCAGAAGAGATTTGCTGATCGTCGTAGGGGTGCAACTCCTTCTTATGCCCCGGGTGATAGGAATTGGTTGTCCTCTAAGAATCTCCGCCTCAGGGTCCCCTCGATGAAATTCGCGCCCAGGTTTCTTGGCCCCTATAAGGTATTGCGTAAGGTGAATCCTGTGTCCTACTCCCTGGCCTTGCCACCTAACACTTTTCACACCTCCCTTTTGAAGCCCCTGCTCTGTAATCGATTCTCTGGTCCTCTCAGGCGTCCGGATTCCCTCCGCGCTGTCTCCAGTGACATGTACGAAGTGGCTGCTCTACTTGATTCTCGTTTTTCTCGGAGTCTGTTGCAGTATCTGGTGGATTACGGCCCTGAGGAGCGGTCTTGGGTTTCTGCCTCTGACTTGAATGCGCCCTCTTTGATCCTCTCCTTTCATGCGCGGTTTCCTTTGAAGCCTTTGGCTTCCCGCCCATCGGGCGGTCCTCGAGGGGGGTTATGTCAGGGGTCCGCGGGCGGCTGTGAGGGGAGGCTGCACGCCACTTGTCTCCCCTCCTCCTACCTGTCGGCGAGCGGCGTCTCCCCTCCACTGCGCGCCGCTCGCGTCCTCCTCCACGCCTCCCAGCGGCAGCATGTATAACGCTGCACTCTGGGAGGTCGCACATTTATGCAAAGGCCGGGGTCACTCACGTGACCCGGCGTTAAAGCAACACTACCACAATCACAGTGGGAGGCGTAGATATCTCCCACGTGTGATTGTTAATTCTGATTGGAAGTTATCCAATCAGAATGAAGCAAAGGATATCTATACTTACCTTTCCTGTCTCTCAGTGCCCTGTTGTGGTCTTGTGATACCTGTATTGCAGTTTGCTCGTGTTTCTCTCTGGTTACTGATTATTTGGCTCGTTATTCCGATTTTCCAGTATTCTCCACTCCTTTGACCTCGGCTTGTTTCTCGTTCTCCCGTTTTCTGGCTCCCTTTACTTGGCTTGTCTCCTGACTATTCTTAGTGCGCTTAGCCCGGCCACACTAAGGACCTGTTAGCGTGTTAGGTTCCAGAATCATGACAGCTATATTCTCATTGTAGGCGCTACCAAAAGGTTGCACAGGTAGCTGCATTGGGGCACACCAGCTCAGGGGGCACAAATGTCCAGGTGGCAGGAGGGAACCACACAGCGCTCCTCTCCTGCTGGTCACTTCTTGTAGCGTAGCCATGCTCTAGTACCTCCATGCCATATGCAAAAGCTGACAATGGAGATAAATTAAGTTATGAAGAGAAGGCATTTTACCAGCGAATCGGAGCCTGCACGCTCTACAAGTTCAGCTACCAGACAACCAGGGAAACCCCCTTCTGCCCCATATTCTGGACCGGTGTCTTAGGTAGCACCGGCTTGTGGGATGGTGCAAATGCCCAGGTGACAGGTAGGAGGGTAGCACACAGTGTTCCTCTCCTGCCGTTAACTTTTTGTAGCATGACTGAGCTCCAGTACTTCCGTGCGGCCCAGCATGCTTCTGTGGTGCATGCCACAGGCAGAACGGAAGTGATAATGTCATATCCCTGCTCTCTGTGTGTAGCACACTACGCATTTGGCGCCTAGTGATGGGGCTAAGTTTCTGAATTGGATCCACAGATCAGAGCCAGACAGCATGCCAGACTGCATGCTTCCCAGACAGAGGCGTAACTAGAAACCACGGGGCCCCGGTGCGAAAACGGCCCTGGGCCCCCCATACGTCTATCCCATACCCCCCCATACACCCTCCTCTACACATGCAGACAAACAGATACACAAGCACACACACACACGACACACATACAGGCACACATGCATGCAACACACACATACATACAAGCACACACACACATACAGGGAGTGCAGAATTATTGGGCAAATGAGTATTTTGACCACATCATCCTCTTTATGCATGTTGTCTTACTCCAAGCTGTATAGGCTCGAAAGCCTACTACCAATTAAGCATATTAGGTGATGTGCATCTCTGTAATGAGAAGGGGTGTGGTCTAATGACATCAACACCCTATATCAGGTGTGCATAATTATTAGGCAACTTCCTTTCCTTTGGCAAAATGGGTCAAAAGAAGGACTTGACAGGCTCAGAAAAGTCAAAAATAGTGAGATATCTTGCAGAGGGATGCAGCACTCTTAAAATTGCAAAGCTTCTGAAGCGTGATCATCGAACAATCAAGCGTTTCATTCAAAATAGTCAACAGGGTCGCAAGAAGCGTGTGGAAAAACCAAGGCGCAAAATAACTGCCCATGAACTGAGAAAAGTCAAGCGTGCAGCTGCCACGATGCCACTTGCCACCAGTTTGGCCATATTTCAGAGCTGCAACATCACTGGAGTGCCCAAAAGCACAAGGTGTGCAATACTCAGAGACATGGCCAAGGTAAGAAAGGCTGAAAGACGACCACCACTGAACAAGACACACAAGCTGAAACGTCAAGACTGGGCCAAGAAATATCTCAAGACTGATTTTTCTAAGGTTTTATGGACTGATGAAATGAGAGTGAGTCTTGATGGGCCAGATGGATGGGCCCGTGGCTGGATTGGTAAAGGGCAGAGAGCTCCAGTCCGACTCAGACGCCAGCAAGGTGGAGGTGGAGTACTGGTTTGGGCTGGTATCATCAAAGATGAGCTTGTGGGGCCTTTTCGGGTTGAGGATGGAGTCAAGCTCAACTCCCAGTCCTACTGCCAGTTCCTGGAAGACACCTTCTTCAAGCAGTGGTACAGGAAGAAGTCTGCATCCTTCAAGAAAAACATGATTTTCATGCAGGACAATGCTCCATCACACGCGTCCAAGTACTCCACAGCGTGGCTGGCAAGAAAGGGTATAAAAGAAGAAAATCTAATGACATGGCCTCCTTGTTCACCTGATCTGAACCCCATTGAGAACATGTGGTCCATCATCAAATGTGAGATTTACAAGGAGGGAAAACAGTACACCTCTCTGAACAGTGTCTGGGAGGCTGTGGTTGCTGCTGCACGCAATGTTGATGGTGAACAGATCAAAACACTGACAGAATCCATGGATGGCAGGCTTTTGAGTGTCCTTGCAAAGAAAGGTGGCTATATTGGTCACTGATTTGTTTTTGTTTTGTTTTTGAATGTCAGAAATGTATATTTGTGAATGTTGAGATGTTATATTGGTTTCACTGGTAATAATAAATAATTGAAATGGGTATATATTTGTTTTTTGTTAAGTTGCCTAATAATTATGCACAGTAATAGTCACCTGCACACACAGATATCCCCCTAACATAGCTATAACTAAAAACAAACTAAAAACTACTTCCAAAAATATTCAGCTTTGATATTAATAGTTTTTTGGGTTCATTGAGAACATGGTTGTTGTTCAATAATAAAATTAATCCTCAAAAATACAACTTGCCTAATAATTCTGCACTCCCTGTACAGACACACATACACACAGACACTGGTGGAACTAATGCGGTTGCAGCTAAGAGGCGTAAGTCACAAAGGGGCAAAAAGGGTAAAGACATTCAAGAGTATGAATATGAAAAACTAAAGGGAGTAAGAAACTCAAATGGGTGTTACGAGACACAGAGGCAAAGATATTTTTTGGCGCGGGGAGCAAGATGCATCTTTGTCTTTGTAACCAAAAGTCCTTGCACCGGCCATGTATGTTGTCACTGTGTTATTAACCAGAGCACATTTTGTGAAGTTACTCTTCCTATACACATCCCTGTCTTCCTACACACATCCCTGTACAAAGTTTTTAAATTATATTTATCTCCCAGTAAGTAAAATAGAGGGACATTGGGGACTTACTGAATATTCATGGCAATTGCTGCATTCAGTCTGACAGTCACTAGAGGTATAATCTCTGGCAATTGTAAACTTAGCCATTTCTTAGATTTGCCAATGTTTTGCATTGTCAATAAAAAGGGACAGTATCTATGCATCAAAACCACTACATAGGTAAGGGCTTTTTTTAAGACAGTTGGGTTTTTTTTTTTTTGTCCTTACGTTATCCCTTTAATCCTTTGTGTATTAGGAAAGTCATATACCATCTGATGAATTATGCATCATCAGAGTACACTGGCATTAAACAGCTTAAAATGACCTTATAAGAGACCAGCTTTGTCTTCGTCCTTTATTCTGCCTTTAAAGTTCGGCTCCTAGTAAAGAGAAACAGAAATCAACATTAAAGGGTTTTTTTCAAAAGCTTCTAGATAGTTAACACAAGGAAATAATTAACTTTATCGCGGAGCCGCATGGCTCCGATTTTATGGGCATTTCATAAACACAGGCAGCTTGCAAGCTACTGGGGAAGCCATATAGTAAACAATGTCAATTCTCTGAAAAATCAAGAACAGTTACAATAATCCGGTAATGCCGTAATAAAAGCAGCGACGCTGCTTATTACATTGCAGATTCTAAGAACCTGAACATAAATACAGGTACTCATATGGCTGATAGCACTTATCATAGGGTGCATGATCAGTAGAGAGTAATGTGTAAACATATCAGCCAACATATAGGACTTGACTTTTTATAACACATTTTTTGCATTAAGAAGGGGCCAGCGCTACAACCTAATATACTTTAAAATTCAGTTTCAAATGAATCCCGATTTGTCTGAATTCTGCGCACACCTAGAATATTTCCAAATCTGGTAATACTGTTACATTTCGATCAGCCACATGGTGTGAAATGGTGTGTTTTAGGTACGTGTTTCACGAGTAACACATTTTCACTCATTAATTTCCCATGCAGCAGACCTTCTCGGAGAAACAATTTAGGTTATTCAGGATGTAAACCCTCTGTAAAGTAAAATAAATTAATGAAAACACTCTAGTTAACAAAGTTATTAGATGTTTACCTTCAAATTGCAGGAAGCTATTTTGCTAAGTACAGATAATTTCAGCTTAAGTACCATCATCCTTTAGATAGAAAGACTTGATTTACACGTTGAGTATGTTCCCATTACCTTGGGGTCTTTTTTTTTAAGAACGAACAATGTTCAAAAGGAACTGACTGGATTTACTTTATAGTATTATTTTAAGGGGTGTGCTGAAAGTTACTGGATTGAATAGTTGTACACATTCAGAAATTGCACTCTACAGTGTTGTACACAGTAAATTGTACCATATAAAACTGTACACATTTAAATATTGAAATTTCAGTTAATGTGAACATAAAGGCTAAAATCAGGTCATATCCCTTTTAATAAAATCAATAAGATGTTGTAGCCAATAGTCTTCAAGAAAAATCAATAATAAACTGATAATGAAAAAAGGGGCCAGTGCTTTGGTTGCCTAATACTACTGTAATTAAGTCAGTCCATGAAATATTGATTAAAGCAGTTTGGTTTCTTACTTAGTGCTTAGTAAACACAAGGACAGAAATGGACATAATAAAGTAGAAGTAAAAAGTTTAAAGCATAATGGATGGGGGGGGGGGCGAAAGGGGGTGCCCTGTGTGACATGGAGTAAGGGGTGCACAGAGCAGACTTCTGTCTACCGGTGCCCAGTACAATGCTGTGCTGTGAGTATATGCAGTGTGGGCAACGTGCTCTGAACTGTTGTTAGAGCTTGAATTTGATGTCACCCCAGCCCCGGCTTCGATACAGAGCAGCAGTGAGCTGTGAAAGTAGGCCGAACCCAGCAACACTAGAGATGCTCCAGCTCTTGCTTTAAACAGTAAGGCAGAGTGGACATTGTTGTTAAAATGTAAAAATAATAAAATACTAAATTAAGTGTGTATGTATTAATGTATTTGTTGGTCGATGAATGTGTTACTGTATATCTGTCAGGGATCCGCAGGCGGCTAGGAGGGGAGGCTGCACGCCACTTGAAGCACTCACCCTCAGTCCATCGCCGCCCGCGGTCTCCCCTCTGCTTACCTGTCGGCGAGCGGCGTCTCCTCTCTGCCGCTCGCCGCCCGCGTCCTCCACGCCCCCCAGCGGCAGCATGTATAATGCTGCACGCTGGGAGGTCAATGAATTATGTAAACGCCGGGGTCACTTGAGTGACCCGGCGTTAAAGGAACAGTACCACAATCACAGTGGGAGGTATAGATATCCCCCACGTGTGATTGTTAATTCTGATTGGAAGTTATCCAATCAGAATTAAACCTAGGGTATTTATACTTACCTTTCCTGTCCCTCAGTGCCCTGTTGTGGTCTTGTGTTACCTGTAGCAAAGTGTTCTTGTCTTGCTCTCTGGTTACCGATTACTTGGCTCGTTATTCTGATTATCCTGTCTTCTCCACTCCTTTGACCTCGGCTTGTTTCTCGTTCTCCCGTTTTCTGGCTCCCTTTACTTGGCTTGTCTCCTGACCATTCTTAGTGTGCTTAGCCCGGCCACACGGTTCGGTTCAATTTCTGCAGTAAAGTGCCATTCATTCTCTCTCTGTATTGGTATGTACATATTAGACATGGAGATTTGTTTCGGTCTGAATTGCAAGTTGTCTACATTTGAGCAAATCAGGTGATTGGTTGAATTCCAGAACTCTGAGCTGAAATGTAACTAAATCTAAATCAAAGTTTTCTGTCAAAATTAATACTGATGCTGGTGCGGGGCCTTACTGCTATGGTGGAGAGATGTATTTTGCTTGAGCTCGTCTCCTATACTGGCAATAAAAGCTATTTTCTGACTCTTCAAGACCGATTTTAATTCATGCTGAGTGATTTACTTGATTCTCGACGTGCTGAAGCATGCTGTTGAGGTCAGTGATCTGACTGGAGCTTGTTTTCTTCACAGATTGGACCCTGCGGCCTATGGAGAAGGTGTGAGAAGTGGCCGATCTCCCAGGCAGGAATCGCCCAGCAACATACAGCACTGTGCATATGCCCCGTTACTCCCTCCCCCCATTTGGACCGGCGGGGGTGATTTCGGTCTGCCCCTAGGAAGCTATTCTAACCTCATGGGTGCACAAAGCGAAGCCACTAAAGCTGACAGATATTACAGCGACCCACCTAATATGGCAGACGTCATGAAAGCACCAACACTGGAGAGGAAAAGCTTGACATGGTGTCCAGACTGGACAGTGTTTTCTGCGATTTCTGGCAGAAACTAGAGCAGAGATGGCAGCGGACGACCCCACAGCAGTCTGATAGTCACTCACCTCGACAGCCTACTCTAAATCCGCCACCGAAGACTGCGGCTCCTCCACAGCCCAGGGCCCCAAAAAGGCGGTGAGGCGGGAAGCTACAGACCAGCATCGGGAGTCCCAGAGTGCCTGCGACACACCTGCTGTGGCTAAAAGCTAGGTCTTGCAGAACGCCTGTGGAGCAGCGGGAAACCCTGATCTCGCCCTTCAACTGGATCAGCCTGTCAACATCTGGGCTCAAGGGCCTATGGTATTCCATCCTGCCGCAAGCCGTTGTTCTGCCCATGGAGGGCATAGGATGAAGTGGAGATGCAGACTGGACACTGTAAGGCTTCTGGCTACTCACTTTAACCCTCTTAGTTTACTTTGATGAGGGCCTCATCTGTCATATTGTTCAATCTTATATGTCTTTGCAATGCTAAATAGACCACCTACTAAGGGACATCTTGGGGGATATACTCTGACAAGTTACTCAATGTTTTATATTGCTTTTCTTATTATTTTATTTTACAATTGCCTAGCCAGCTACCATTTGATTTGTTTTATAACCCTACTTTAACCCCTTAAGGACCAAACTTCTGGAATAAAAGGGAATTCTGACATGTCACACATGTCATGTGTCCTTAAGGGGTTAAAGTAGTTACACTACAAAGTTAAGCATGTTCTCATATATTACTTTTATGCAACTAAAATCTATGTCTAGAAAGTCTTGCTAATATTTCACTTAGTTGAACCTACTCACTTTAGACACATGTGACTAACCTGAATATACCAAAACATAAAATTAGTGTTGTACTCTCACAATGCCTCATGTCTATTGTACTGTTTTTGTTGATGTGCTTGCCATGGCTGTTGGAGCATTGCAGGCTTATTTGTATTTTTTCTATATGCACTGCAAAAATAAAGAATTTAATTTAAAAAAAATGAATACTGGTGCTATATAATTGTTGCCCACTGTCAAGGTGAAGGTAGACATCATAGTCTTGTCCCACCTCTACATATGGGTGGGAGATAGCAATTTGTTTACATAAGGAACCTGGGTAGTAGCTGCCACCTAGAAACTTATTTGTAATATTGAATCTAAGATTGATTGGAAGACATTCAACCATTCGAAAAACTACTGGCAGACTTTGAAAGTACATAAGTGGGTTTATTCACAAAACAAAATCACAGGAATTCCTAGTAAGTCCGCCGTGCAATAATAAGGGGATTATCTAAATCCAACTTTGGAGATCACCATTTTGCCAGAAAAGCAATTAAAGCCTGCTCATAGTTGGGTTATATATGAAAAAAGGTCTTTGTAGCGGAGATATTACAATAAAATCTACTGCTTTAAAAAAAAAATGCATAAAAAAACTTTACTCCACCATTAACCACCATTAACATGTTTCGTGCAATTGAACGTATTTGATACTTTTTTTAGGCTTGCTTGAATAAATAATTGATTTTAATTTAACCTTATTAATGTTGACCAATATATATGTTCACATAGTAATCTATAGCTCTAAGCAGGTGATATGTTGTCATTTGTTCCATGTGTGTACGTTACCACCTTAAAACACCACACCTTCTACTTACATAAATTATTTAATCTCCTAATTGTGAATCGGATGTTTCTCTTGTTGGCGATACAATACTGACAACACAATGTTATAGTGATTGAACATTTGAAGCCATCCAGGATGTGGTAAGGCAAACTCACATGACTGATAAAGGTGTGTGAATAAATATAGGAAGAGATAAGGCTTTGATACAGAGACCCATACTTCCCGCCAACTCTGTTTGAACACTGATAGACACCTTGACAAACAAATATCATTTGCGCATTGTGAATCTTTTATTTTCATTAGCCATTACATACAGAACACTACATGTTAAAGGTACAGTCCATTGTACAAGTGTCTAAGATAGTGTTAATAACTTTAATGCCGCAATCCCATAGATATGAGTCAGCACTGGTGGATTAATCCATACACACTACCTTTGCCTTACCTTTGCCTTACTTCCCAGTCAGGGGCAGATCTTGGCAGTCCCGAGGGACATGGGAACCTCCTATGGCCGACAGCCTTATGGTGAGTTTTCTACCATCCCCGCTCCCTTGTATGATTTTTTCAATGTTTGGCACAGGTTAACCTCAGATATTTGGGTCCTAAACACCATTCTAGGTTATCACGTCGAGTTTGTGCAGCACCCAGTCCAGACCTCCGTGCTGCACAAATAATTTTTTCCCCACAAGACAGGAGCCTAGGAGGAAATACGCATGCTAAAGGCAAAGGGAGCAATCTACCAGGTTCCAATCTCCAGGTTTTGAGCAACCTCTTTCTGGTACCCAAGAAAGGTGGTGGTGTGAGACCGGTTATCAATCTTTGCCCCCTCAATGCATTTGCCCGGTATCACCATTTTAAAATGGCGGCAATTCACTGCCTTCGAGACCTACTCAGGTTGGGGGATTGGATGGTCAGACTTGACCTTCAAGATGCTTACCTCACAATTCCAATTGCCAAGGAATGTCAACACCTCCTTTAATTCCAGTGGGACGAGACTATGTGGCGATTCCTATGCCTCCACTTCGGCTTGTCTTTGGCTCCATGGTGCTTCACCAAGCTGTTGAAACCCGTGGTCAACCTTCTTATCGTATGATAATATACCTAGACGATATGCTGATCATGGCCCACAATGCCCACCGGCTTTATCAACACCTCTCTTTGGCGTTGTCCCTCCTTCAAAATCTCGGATTCCTGATCAATTGGGAAAAGTCAGTGCTCAACCCTTCTCAGTCCATGGAGTTCTTGAGATTCGACATCGATGCTGTACACGGGACACTCAGCCTACCCTCACAAAGGTTAAACTCATCAAGAAACTCATGGAATTCATGGCAGGGTCATTCGCCCTAAAGAGTCTCCTCAGGGTCATGACCAACTGCTACACCAACCATCTGGGTGGCACGAGATCCTAAATACTCAATACTAATACTAAAGGAACTGCTTGGTAGGGATGTGCATGGGTAAAAAATTTGGTTCGGCACTTCCGAAATTCAGCACTTCAGCAATTCAGGACTTTGACAATTCAGGACTTCAGCACCTCAGGACTTTAGCAATTCGAAAATTCATAAGCATCCCTCTTTTGCCACCACAACCACTTGCACATCTGTAGGGCTCCCTACCCCTACCTCTAACCCTACCGCTAATCCTACCTCTACCCCTAACCCTACCCCTAACCACCACAACCACTTCCACATCTGGGGTTAGTGGTAGGGTTAGGTGCCCGGACTGCCACCACAACCACTTACACATCTATAGGGCTCCCAGTGCCAGGAATTAGCTTATTGGTTTAGATTCCTGTCATCATTCACGTAATTTTCCCTCCCTCTCTTGTTTTGCCACTTTTCAGAAATCCGAAGCACTTCGGAACTTCAGAAATGCAGCACTTCGGCAATTCGGTTTGGTTCGACACTTCTGAAATTCAGCACTTCGGCAATTCGGTTCGGTTCGGCACTTCCAAAATTCGGCAAATCGGACATTCTAAAGCATCCATATGTCTGAATTGCCGAAATTCGTCCGAATTTACATTTTACAGTTTACAAATTGCACATGTCTACTGCTTGTATCTAAGATTGATTAGAGGACATTCAGCCGTTTAAAAAACTACCACTGGTATTCAGACTTGCTGCACATGGCAAACTTTGAAAGTACATAAGTGGGTTAATTCTGAAATAAAATCACAGGAATTCCTAGTAAAATAAAATCTATTGCTTTTTCGAAAAAATTAATAAAAAACTTTAGTCCACCTTGTGCAAGCGGCAAATTGTATTAACCACCTAACATGTTTAGTGCAGCTAAATGCATTTGATCACTGGGGTGATCGTTATTTTATGCTTTCTTGAATAAAGAATGGATTTTATTTTAACTTTATTGATGTTAACCAACATATCTGTTCATATGGCCTCCTATAGCTCTAAGTGAGTGATGTTTTCATATTTTGTAATTTGTTCCATGTATGTACACTAACATCTTAAAACACCACACCTTCTACTTACATAAATTATTTAATCTCATAATTGTGAATCATATGTTTCTCTTGTTGGGGATACAATACTGACTACACAATGCTATAGTGATTTGATATTGGAAGCCATCCAGGATGTGGAAAGGCTGAGAAATGTGTGAATAAATATACGACTGAGAAATGTGTATGAATGAATATATGAAGAGATAAGGCTTTCTTACTTCCCGCCAACTCTATTTGAACACTGATAGACACCTTGACAAACAAATATCATTTGCGCATTGTGAATCTTTTATTTTCATTAGCGATTACATACAGAACACTACATGTTAAAGGTACAGTCCATCGTACAAGTGTCTAAGGTAGTGTTTAGGAACTTTTATGCCGCAATCCCATAGAGATGAGTCAGCACTGGTGGATTAATTCATACACACTGTCAGGCACACATTAACACACTGTCACACACAGAAATACACACATGCCAATTATACTACCAGGTTCACAAACAGATACACGCTTGAACACAAACATGTGTGTTTTTAAACACTAAAATGTATAATGCTAATGATATCATCAGTGAAAGTGCAGTTTTTGTGTAAAAAAAAAAATGCAAAAAACAAATATGAATGCTAACTTTGGCTAATTGGCTAATAAAAAATACTGAGCATAGCCCATTTTAAATACCCTGGGCTGTCTACTTTTTCAAATAGTATGCCATGATGGGAGTGATTTTCATTCCTGTGTGGCCATACGGTCTCAAAGGCAACA